TCTTTAATTTTGATGGACCTTCGTCTCAAAATCGATGCATATCTAATGAGCGAGACTCAGCGAGAGCTCCATATGCAAATGAGCCGGGCGCGAGATCAAACATGGCGGCGTCCATACACCGAGGACACATGGACACAGACAACGTTTTTCGCCAACAATTACTGGCGCAAAATCAATCTATGCTGCGGCTTCTCACTCAATTAAGCGCAGGTTCCACACACTCTGTGCCTCCGCACCCAAACCAACCGGCCGCGACGGTTACATCGCCGGACAATTTTAGTGATTTGCTGTCAGAGGCCGGTTCCGGCTCGGACTTAGGTTCTAGACCACCGGCATCTTTTACAACTCAGGAACGATCTGTTCAGGAAGTCAGTTCTGATGAAGAGGAACCTCATGACGACTTCGACACTCACCATTTTTTAAAAGAATTGGACGACCAGTTCTCTCGGAACTCGGATTCATCATCAAAAGTCAACGCCGGCTTGGCTAAAATTGTGACAGACGGCTTCAAACGCCACCTGGATCACAAACAACGGAAGGAACTGCTTCAAAAACATCTGTGTCCCGAAAACTGTACGTCGTTGACAGTACCAAAGATCAATACCAACATCATGTCAACTTTGAAAAACGCCAATAAAAACAAGGACAATGGCCTCAGACTAACACAGACCTACATCTGCGGGGCAATGTATCCCTTGATACATCTTACAAACATTTTAACTCAAGGGAGCAAGGGGCTTTCCCATCAGCTATCAAAGATTGCCTCACGCTGGCTCACGACACATTCCGCCTTTTACAGGTTGGATTTAGTGATGTTACTTTTCGCCGACGTCAAGCGCTCAAACCCTTTCTTCATCCAGATTATAAAGCCCTATGTGACAGCACTGAACCACCTACTCAATGGCTCCTAGGGGATGACCTGGAAAACAAAATTAAAGAACTGTCAGATGCCCAACGCATCAGTAAAAAACTGGAGAAGCCCAGAAATACACACCACAGGTATTCACCATATCAGGGCCCTAGTTATGGCGGCACTTCATACCGTTGGGGGTCACAACTACCCGGAACGAGTCCCAGACGAGGTGGGCATTCTAGTCACTACAGCCAACGACAAATTCCTCAATCCAAGGGAAATCGAGGCGGGGGTCAACACCGCAGCCATACAGCTCCTTTTTTAGGAGATCGCCAGAAATTCCGGAAGAAGGAATGACAATGAACAATGAACCCCTAAATGTAAGTGAAATCTTATCACATCTCAACAACCGACCCGATAACTTCATTGCTGGCAAAGTCAAATATCACATGGACGCTTGGCAAAAAATCACGTCCGATCGCTGGTTGTTAACTCAACTTCACGGATATGCCATTGAATTTTCTACCACTCCCGTTCAACATTCATGTCCCCGTAGCCTAAAATTTTCTGCAGAAGAGCGGGCATTTGTTGACGATCAAGTCAACACTCTGTTACATAAGCAAGTCATTGAGTCAGTGGCCCCATCCAATAGAACAGATTCAGAGTTCATTTCCACTATTTTTCTTAGGCCTAAGAAAGATGGGTCATATCGCCTCATTCTCAACCTGAAGAAACTAAATGACGATGTGGAACATGTACATTTCAAAATGGAAACGCTCAAATCAGCCATTACGCTCATGACACGGAACTGTTGGTTTGCATCCATAGACCTCAAAGATGCTTACTACTCAATCCCAATTTGTGATTCAGATAAACATTTTTTGAGATTTTTATGGAACAATCATTGCTACCAATTTTCGTGCCTTCCGTTTGGATTGAGCTCAGCTCCGCGCATCTTCACAAAGGTTATGAAACCTGTGTTTTCCACCCTTCGAAAACGTGGCCATGCTAATGTGGCTTACATCGATGACACCCTTTTATCGGCTACCACAGCAGATGCATGTCGGTCAAATGTCATGGACACAATTCAACTTCTCGACTCACTGGGACTAACTGTTCACCAGGAAAAATCTGTGATAATACCGACTCAGGAAAGCGTGTTTTTAGGGTTCCTCCTGAACTCTCAGTCCATGACAATCCGCCTGACAATTGAGAAAGCGTGCGACGTTAAGTTAATGTGTCAAAAGATACTTAACCGTCATGAACACTCCATTCGTGATATCGCAAGATTAGTAGGGAAACTTGTCGCATGTGAGCCAGCTGTACCACATGCAGCTCTCTTCTACAAACCTTTAGAGTACGAGAAAGATTGTGCGCTTAAATCCGCTAAAGGTAATTTTGAAGCGTTAATGACACTGTCGAGATTAACACGCCAAACACTTTCATGGTGGATAGACAATATAACAACAAGTGAGAAACCTGTCCATCGAGGACAGCCCGACATTTCTCTCGAATCAGATAGTTCCGGTTCCGGCTGGGGCGGAGTAGTTCGCGACGACCCATCACTACAAACTGGTGGACATTGGTCATATATAGAACAATCCAAACATATCAATTACCTTGAATTATTGGCCGCATTCTTAACGCTCCAATGTTTCTGCGGTGACAAGTCGGCAGTGCATGTCCGCCTTTATCTTGATAATACTGTGGCCGTGAACTATATTAACAATATGGGTGGCAAAAAACCTGAATTATCACAATTGACTCGTGATATATGGTTATGGAGTATCCGACGTAATATCTGGCTATCGGCTTGCCACCTTCCAGGATCTCAGAACACTCGCGCCGATAACCTGTCCCGCAAACTATCAGATGACATGGAATGGCATCTGGCGGCAGATATTTTTGAGGATCTTTGCCTACGGTTTAACAGACCGTGTGTAGACCTCTTCGCTACAAGAGTCAATACCCAGGTTAACTCCTACGTCTCCTATCTACCCGACCCTACTGCGATAGCCATAGATGCTTTTACAATACCTTGGTCACATTTTGATATGTGCTATGCCTTCCCTCCTTTCAGTGTGCTCGGACGGGTCCTACAGAAAGTGGAGGAGGAGGAGACGCCAGACATTCTACTAGTAGCACCACTGTGGACCACACAACCTTGGTTCCCAGCCCTCCTTCGACTACTCATCGACAACCCAGTGATACTTCCCAACAGCAGGCCGATTTTACACCTGATCAACAAACCCGGAGCTATTCACCCTCTGCAGAACTTGAGACTGATTGCCTGCAGGTTATCCGGGAAAGTCTCCAAAAACGAGGAGTTTCACAGAAGTCTGCAAACACTATCATCTCCGCTTGGAGGGAATCAACTAAAAAGCAATATGGGGTCCATTTCCGCAAATGGATGTCATTTTGTAGTGGGAGACAGACTTATCCACTTTGTCCATCTATCTCAGTGTTTTTAGACTTTCTACAAGAAATGTTTGACAGACACTTGAGCTATAGCTCAATTAATACCGCCAAATCATGTGTTAACTCTCTGTTGGAAATAGCAGGGACACAAAACTGCATTTCTAACAATCTGGTGAAGCGTTTCATGAAAGGAATTTTCCACCAACGCCCAGCTTTACCTCGATATCCAGCTACGTGGAAAGTTTCTGTAGTATTAGACTTTCTGGAAACTTTAAACCCTGTACATAGTATCTCTTTCCGCTTATTATCTTACAAACTGTTAATGTTGTTAGCTATATTGACTGGCCAACGTTGCCAGACTTTTCATTTATTGGATATAAGAGACATCAGTGTTACAGCAGATAGTGCTCAACTCGTGTTTTCTCAACCACTAAAACAAACACGGCCAGGACATCACCTGGAACCAATTTTGTTACCTGCATTTCCGCAGGATCACAGGTTGTGCATTGTGAAAACCTTAACAGCATATCTGGCAAGAACAAAACCGCTCCGTGATAACCACACACAACTATTTCTCTCGATAATTGCACCACACAAACCAGTATGTAAACAAACACTTGCTAACTGGATAAAAAATGTGCTGGTTTTGTCAGGGATAGATGTGTCAGTGTACAAACCCCACAGTACCAGGAGTGCATCCACATCAGCAGCACATGCTGCCAGTGTCCCCATCAGCACTATTTTGCGGACAGCTGGATGGTCAAATGACAATGTGTTTTTCCGTTTCTACCAACGTACAATTGACACTTCGACAAGTACAGTTAAGACTACCAATCTAGCCACGGCAGTCCTACAACAACACATGTCTAGTTCATGAGTGTATATAAACTTTACCTTTGCTTTGTTCATGTAACCTGAAATTATGATGTGGACAGCAAAATACACATTGTAACAAAATTTCTTTTGTTGGTTTTTACTTCTTATCCAATAGCTGCACATGAATATTCAGCTCTGAAATCTCATTTGGACCCTAAGTAGGTTAAGTTCATGGAATTGGAAATTAAATGAGCTTTCTTCCGAAAGTGAAATTTGAGTATAATTCCATGAACTTAACTTCTACTTAGGGTTCAATTGCCCAGCCCATTTATTCACATATCAAATCCCTCCCCTCATGGAGTTATCCTGAATATTCATTTGCTTATATTACCTGCTCTAAAGACTGAATCACGTGATCTCTGACGTCATCTCAATTGAACCCTAAGTAGAAGTTAAGTTCATGGAATTATACTCAAATTTCACTTTCGGAAGAAAGCTCATTTAATTTCCAATTAATCTCTATAAATTATTTCTAACACATGATTAAGATTAAACAGCTTTTAGCGATCCGCGCTTTTTCATATCTCAAAGATAACACTGTCATATTGGAACAACTTCTTTTTCGTTTGTAATAAATGGTCTCATTTTACAACGTTTGTAATAAATGGTCTCATTTCACAATCAGCCTTCTTAACAATGAAAACGTTTCAACTTAAATTCCGTTAAGGACAATTACAATACAAACACATGACTTAACATATCACGTGAAAGTATTTTATGCATACAATTCTTAAATGACATACTTTAGTAACATGTGACTGGATTGCAACATGCAAATTACTCCTTCCTAGAACCGGATGTAGAAACCCCCTTGCGGCAGTACACCTTTGCCCTCCTCCAATGATTGCCTGAACCCGACAGAAGCCATCTTGAATACCGTCATTTCCGTTACAGTCGTGAACTTTGAACCCTATCTCCTTTGCCGCTTTAAAGTACACTTCCGCTAATTCAGATTTTGTGGCATCCGATATTGCAATTGGCCCACCGCGAGCGTGGTAATCTAATGAGAAAATAAAATAATAATAATAAAAAACACCTGGGAGCATCAAAGCAATATCTTTCTTTTGACAAAATTAATTCAACAGTATTAAACAATCCCATTTTCGATCATGAATACATATTTATGTATAATGTAATATTCTGGGGGAATCGTTCAATAGTCATGCGGTATTCGTAAAAACTGGATAGGCCAGACATGGAAACTATAATGAAATCATCATGCCTCATCGAGTGGTGTTAGATTAACGACTAAAATCGCTAAGTAGAGATGAGAGGTGCATTCACCCTCATTTCTGACAGTAAGGTACCTTTTATGAAACCTTTCCAAATATTATTATCATCAAAACATTTTTCCTGTGGGCTAAAGCATTAATCGAAAAATCCCTGGTCATTTCAAAATCAGAATGCTTTAATGTAGCACAAGACTTGGTGATACTTTTGAAAAGGAAACATGAGAAAGGATGACCGATCCAGGAAACAGCAACACTGTAAGTAATCCGGGAAAGGCCCCTTTCTCTCACTTGATTTAAGTAGAACATAAATACTTTATATATATATACAACAAATAGATACTGAAATAATCGCTTATAGGACTTATAGAAATTCAAAATAACGTTTTTGAGGCTAATAATTTTATTCCTTTAAAGCAAATTGCAACAAACTTAAGAAAAAGTCGTTTACCGGCATCAAAGCCATCCGTTTCGCGCATGTCTTCCGATTTCAGGAAGTACGGTAGGACTTCATCATAGCTCCACCCGTCACATCCATTGGCTGCCCATGTGTCGTAGTCATGGCGACTGCCCCGGATGTAGACGAGTCCATTCAGGAGTGTCGACCCTCCCAACCCTTTCCCTTGCGGCCAAATACCAACCTATGTTTAAAAAAGGAATTACAAACGATAATTTCGCTTTCTCCATTAATGTTCGATAACATGCTGTGTATTTTGTGTTGTCGTGACGTAATTTCTTAGTTCATGCAAATCGTCACGATGACCAATGTTTTATGGATATTCATTAAAGCCCCAATATACGTAAAAATCACTATAAAAAACAAACTTTATCTTATTTTCCCCGTAATATATGTAACAAAACAGATACTTTCCTTTAATTAATGAAAATAAAACTGTTTTCAATTTAAATAAAATAGGGAAAAAATCGGAAAATAAACAATGTGGGACCCACAATAATTCATACATTACCGCTCGTAGCGAAGACATTGCGCATATTCCGCGTGTGTAAACATGGCAGAAACAGTACAGACGTTCACCAGTCGCTTCCTTTTTTTCCAATCATACATCAGGCCAATTCTGAATTCTTACGTTATAATTGTGCGTCGTATCGTTTCTAAACTAATTATTCCTTCTAATAATTTCCCAAAAACTGAATGTTTATCGCAGGAATACCTCAAGTCTTCGCAAACAATGTTTGTAAACAAAAACTTACCGTAGACATATCTGCATGTGCTTCCTCTATAAGTAGAAACCTCAACTCTCGCGAGATCAGGCCATGAACTTTCCGACGTGGTTCGGCAACAATCGTAATTTCGATGGCGGCGTGTTTAAAATGGGGGTGTGTTTACAAATAGCGAGTTTCAACTGCTCATATATCAATACTTTATGTCATGGTAACTATTGTTTGAATAACTTTATTTTAACTACATCTTAGAGAATATCTCAATAATTATGTGTGATTCTACACTAAATGTTTGGTGAATGTTACGTATATTGGGGCTTTAAACACTATCCCGGCTTAGTAGCTTAAGACTGCTTTACGTACTCTCTCTTTCATACCCATATGCGCATGTTTCTGTGGCACAGTCCGGTATATCCAATCCGCTTCGGTCATTTGTGCTTTGGGAGCGTTGTATGGGATATCGTAAATCGGTTTATCGGACTCAGAATTTCCCGCCTCCAACACCAGAACAGTGACGTCAGCATCTTCTGACAGACGATTGGCTAACACCAAACCTGACGCGCCTCCACCAACTGGTTGATTTAAAAAACGGTAATATTAAAAAAATAAAAAACAAAACAAAACGAAACGAAACGAAACAAACAAAGAAAATGGAAACCATTGTTTCCGCTTTCTGTAAGGTCTTATTCATTCATAATCACAACAAAAGTTTTGAGGTCAAATAATTTCCTCTGGACAGCTGACCACTTGCTAAGCTATATAAATCAAAATACACCAAACGTTGCTAGTTTACCTACAGGAACTTTGCGCGAATATGTATTTCATAATACATAAAACTGACGTAAAGATAATAATTAGCGACAAGTCCGTGTAGGCAAAATAGCAACGTTTGGTGTATTTTCTGTTGGGAGATTCTTTCCGCAAGAGGAATATAGTCAGACTCGAAAGGTGAAATGAGAGCGGTAACCTTAGTATAGAAGACGAGATCTAAAAAAAAATAGTTGTTATCCAGACGATACCATATTCATGTCAAAATATAAGACGCCGTCTTCATTTGTGAGTTCAACAACAGTTCAAAACTGAGTGATTATATTTTGATAAAGCAGCCCCTTGCACACAATGTTTTTTTTAGATCGATTAACATAAAACAATTAGCATCCAGGCTCAACTTACAGTTTTGGCCAGCTATATAAATAAATTTCAAAACTTACCAATAACATAATCATATGACTGGTTAAAATTCCGGACAAAATCGTGTGGTTTCGTCCACCGGAAGTAGTACGTCGTTACAATAGCAGCAACTGTTGTCAATAATGTCACTCCAAAAGCCTTCATAATTGTTTTAATTTATTTAAATTATCTGCATCTCATTATGACTCAAGATGTTGTATTAATCTGTAATGTAAATCAGGAGCAGTTTAGGTAATGTTTAATTAAACCACAGGGACCTGGGACACAGATCAAGATCATTTTGGGTTCTGCGATGGTCATTATGTTAAAAAAGAGTGACCACGCAAGATGGGACCTTGATTTAAGGACACTTTACAGTTTCTTATCACATAAATAACTGACAATAGGCTAACCAGTTGTTACCGCACACCTATTTAAAGATTAACTTCATGGAGGGAGCAATTTAAGAACTCTCTCGCCCTTATATGTCATTTTCATGGTTAAAACTGGATAAAGAGATTTGCTCCCTCTTGTTTGGGGGCTAGTACTTGGTAGGCCCTCACTATATATAGCGTTTTTAGGTTTTTGCCATAAGAACTTTTCCATTTCGTTTATATTGGTACGAATCCATATACTTCACTTTAGATCTGAGTCTACATCTCATCAACAGATCATAATTACCTTTCTTACAGATAAGTACATTCTACCGGAGAGTATTACGAAATCTGTACTTATACAGCCTCGTGAAGAAATCCAGTTATATGCACGACAAAGGCAATTATGTCATCGACCTTTGATACTACACACTGTGTTAACTCGAGGTGACTTCATACAATATCTCGACCTTGCCGTCTGTAAATGTATCCATTGAATTAATCATTCCTTTTGTACCTCATCGTTATTTAAGAACAAGATATCAGAAAAAGTCTAACACACAAACGGAACATAGATAAAATATCTGTCAATAATTGATTGATAATGTTTGACATTTTTGGGTGGGGTACAAAAGGAAGTCTTACCTTATCTCCTATCACATTCACCTTCACCTTTAACTTAAAGTGTCAGATGGTTCTAATCGGTGTAGTACATTCTGCATATATAGACCTTATCTCAATTTGTCTACTTGGATGGAGAGTAGGAAAATGCCGGTCAGAACGATATTATAGTCCATTTCAGAAAAGTTCATATTCATTCTGTCATGATTTTTTTTCCCGTCTTTTCGTCGCCGCCCGGTAAGGGCATATTTTAATTCTCGTCTTTAAACTACAGTTCCAATGCAAAAATACGACATAAATGCAGGCTAATTAGCTATCTTAATCGTCTTTGCGGGTTCAAATATCTCGTCTCCCTCTCAAGGTTGGTTAAAACTCATATCTTCTAGACGACAGTGGGGCATTCCTGGTTCGTTAATACAGGGACTCAGTGGCACGAATTCCCAATTCAAGGTCCGTATGCATAGTCACTATAATACATTTACATGGACCATGGGTTTCGAATTCGTGGGGATCAATGTAACACACTTAGACAAAAACCATGTATTCAATAGGGAAAGACATTCTGATCAGATTCAGACTAGAACTTGACCACATGCCGTCTGCTCGGATTTACTCTCTCCTTGCAGCACATAGCCTGGGGCAATGTGTTGTGAAGCAAACAGATCCGGCGCTTAGCACGGACACACACACACACACACACCACACACACATACACACATATACGTGTATTTTTTTTTTGTTTATACAGAACATCGTTCAAAATACTTATTGTTATATACCAAACCATGTCCTGAATACCAATTCTAACGATTTAACTTTGACTACTTCTTAAAAAGAAATATGATATGATTTGAAATTTTCCGGAAATCAATCATTAGAATTGTGGCATGGTTCAGAATATACACACAGACTTGACATTGTTCTATCTGATATATAAACATTACGAAATTTAATCGTTGGGCACATCTCCTTCTTAATTTGGACTTTTCGTTTGATCACTTTGGATTTTCCCCAGTACCTCCTTAGGCTTCAGAATTTGTATTAACATCATCAATAATCGTACCAGTGGTATCTTAAATTCTACTGTACATTGAAAATAAAACAGGTAAGACATTTTAACAATTCTTTATTTAAAAAGGAAAACAAATACTGTAATATCTTCAAAATTGATTGGATTTTATATAAATATGGTAAAAAGCTCTCCAGAAAGAAGTTACGTTGTACTAATATATGGAAACAAATCTCTCCAGGTATTTTGATTAACATACAAAAGTTTAACTCACATACCGAAAGAGGTATATATTTTGAGAAGCATTGAGATATTTTGTTGTATCAACTGATAGTTTGAATTCGTTCAGATGTGATTTAGTCATGATTTTCAAGGCCTCACAAAATACACACCAAATTCAAGTTTTGTCCTTAGGTTCAAAAACTTCAAAAACATATATAACACTTTTTTTCTTTCTTTTTTTTCTTCAAATTTAACAATATAAACAAAAGTATCGGTGAAACTGATGAATGCTCCCTGAAAACAACTTTATTGGACACAGAATTTTAACAAAGGGCAATATTTCTGTAATTAAGGGATGCAGGCCCTGAATTTGGTATACAGCACAATTTCCTAGTAAGATCAATGTATACACTGAGTTTCATGATCCTAGTTTTAATGTAAGCAAATCTATGCTTATGACACAAAAGTTTAACAAGGGGCAATAACTCTGTAACTGAGGGGTCATGAGCTTTGACCTTGCTACACTGAACCTTGCTTTTTTGTATGACTGATGATTATATCACGTTTCAATAACCACAAAATTTTAACGAAGGACAATAACTCTCTAATTAAGTAGTTGCGGGCCCTATCATCAGTACACTGCACATTGTCTTTCTATGATCAATGTATACACCAAGTTTCATTATCCTAGCTTAAATGCAAGTAAAGTTATACTCTGAACAAGATGTTTCACAAAGGGCAGTAACTGTAATTTTGGGGTCAAGGGCAATGACTTTGACAAACATAGTCTTAGCATGATCAATATATACAATGTTTCGTGATCAGCGCTTAGATTGCTTGCTTTCTGTATAGCTGACCAAATGAAAAATTAATGAGATGGCTGTGTACCTTGTTACCGAAGGATACGTCCTTTTTTTCAACTCCCACCACCCCCTTTTCAAATGGCAGTGTTTGACTGTACTGACATACATTCTGTCTCATTTTTTGTGGGATTTTGATAAAAAATAGATGCAAAGTTCCTGGTTTTAAGGTCATGATCAAGGTCACTTTTAGCATTTACTTGGTAGAGACTTTTTCAATAATCAATATTTCTATATGGGAGCGGGGCGTTAATATCTCATCTAATGGCTGCAGGGATTATCTCCCATATATATCAATTTTTATTCTTAATTTAGAAATAGTTTTATGAATTGTAAATGACATGAACATAATCACAAACACAGGAATGTAAATTAAAAAAGAAACATATTATTTTACACAATCTATATAAATAATTTAATAAATACATGAAAATATTTAAATAAAAAAAATGTCAAATAAAAATGACTGTTGACTTATACATCTTTCATTTCAAAATGTCATCAGTTATGTTTCAATGGTTGAATAATATCATTTCCAAGATCTTTGATTAATATATCACTCACATATTTAAAGAACAACTGAGAAAATCTATGACTTAATGAAATACATCTTCAACTTTTTCACAAACTATAAAAATTGTTTTGTCATATTAAATGAATTCTACAGAAAATAAAATGTATGTAGAATATATTTTTATTTTTATTTTGTAAATATAGAATATTGTTACCTCATTGATTTTAAAAGAAAGGATTTTTATAAAATATCTTTAAGACACATTTGAGTCTGAGTATATGAGCAGATTTAACATTCATTCTAAACACTTTTCATCTTTAAAAGTCAACAATGTTACATCATGTATTTCATTTTCAAAGACATGAAAAAGTTTTCATAATCAATTATGACAGACGCTTTGATGGACACACCAGGAAATGGATTTCTACATCAATGAAACATTTTAGTCTTCAATGTGACTCAGTTGAACTAACATTAATAATTTCCAGCTTATTTTCAATGATTGACAGTTGAACTAGAATCTCATAATATCACAACCTTGATTGAAAGTTAGTGAATCATTTTTACAATATCTTTTTTTTATTTTTCATGTCCTGAAACTTGTAAACAGTCTACTAACTTTTCCTACAACTGTAAAAAGTCCAAAGGAGTTTTCTATCATTTCATAAAAAGGGAAGAAACAGTTTAAACCAAAACCAATCACTACCACAGCGAGAAACAAGGCCAAGAAAATTGAAGGATTTTCATACAAGTCCCCAATCCACAGTTTAAGTATCGAGATCTCATCCAGGACATAGCGGATGTTCGGAGAAAATAATTTGTCCATGAATTCCAGAACAGAGTAACTGTAGTCGCCAGTAGCACTGTTCTGCCACAGGGAGTAAGACGTGTCTGCATTTATTCCAAGGCATTCCAAAAATTCTTGCTCTTTTTTATTCAAATCTATTTTTGTCTTGGAAACCATATCTTCCTTTGTAAGTAAACCAAATATTGGGATATCTGAAACATAAAATTGTTAATCAGTCCCAATGAAAACAATCAATTTATTTTGTGTCTACAAACACAATTCACATATGTTGATTGAAAGAAAACATACAACATTTGATGCAAAGTTGCGCCATTTTTAACCAATGTTTTTTTCTGATCAATAATCAACAAGGGAATTATTTTGTCGAAAAGAAGAATTTTACAGTAAATAGTAATTTTCTTTTTCATGCAATTTCCACCAAACTAATTGACTGTGATGAGTGTGAAACTAATTTCACCTGGGATGAGATTTAATAACAAAACATCTACCCTAAACTGAACAAAGCTAATTTTAAGTCCTTATTACTTTTTTTTAAAATGATTACAACATTAAGCTGCTAATCCAAGCAGAGATAAGTACAAGTATACATTTTAACTTACATCTGGGGTTGAGATACTGTGCACTGCCATCTGGTTGGGCCACATTTTTCACACATTCTATCAGTTCAGTTGGAATTCTATCTGTAGCACTAGCCACAAATAGTATCTTATGGATCCTTCGTCCCCGGTACACTAACGGAAACATGCGCTCAAGTTTGCGATCTCCTTGAGTCCTTTGGACGTCTAAGATGGCTGGAATGGAAGTTTTATTCCAGATTCGTCCTGTGATTATCATGTCCAATAGTTTCCTCTGCTGGGGGGAGTTTTCATTGTTTAGTCCAGTCATGTCCACCAAATTTGGAAAATACCTGGGTACCCTCATCTCCTTTAGCCTTTTCTCATCAATTCCACATTTATCATACCTATATACAATACAGCAGCATCATAAATATTTTAGTTCATAGAAACAGTTATATATCAGCATTTTACCTACAACACATACCATAAACAAGAAATTTACATGACATCTTTGACAATACTTGTGTTTAACATTAATATCTATCAGTGGGCTTCAATAAGTCAGGTATAATAAGAGTATTGAAGAGACAGAACAACATACTGTATTTAATGGCAATAAGCCCATGTCCTGTGATAAGTCTGTCAAGATCTTATATTGTTTTACAGAATAACAAACATAGGCTTATCCATTTTCAAACAATAAGCCCAATCACACCTTTGGCTTATTGCCACCCAGCCAAACATGTTACTACAATCCAACTGACACATGTACATTATGTAAATGTTCATTAGGTTTACAAACAAATGCTTATTCATATCCTGTAATAAGCCCATCCCTAACTTCGAATCAAAGGAAAGAAATGGTAGCTCGCTGGGCTTATAGCAGGATAAATATGATTTGTCAACAGGTACTGGTCACAGTTATAGAAGCCAATTTATCAGGAATACAAAAATTGAACAAATATGTCTCGGCAGAGGAGATGACAACTTCTATTCAAACATTTTATACATAATTTTATACAAAATTTTAGTATTCAACACGCCATCCATATCTGAACATCAGTTAAATATATTTTATGGACAGAGGCCAAATAGTAAAAGAATTGCCATATTGGTCAGCACTGATGCATGAAGACCATCAAAGCTCTACTTAAAATACAAAGTTGAAAATACAGAAATAAAAACTATCTAGCTTTATTTGTATCAGGCATTTGTACTGTTTGATAGAGATATGTCTGACAATATAAGCAGGGTAGTAATGTCAAGAAAAATTAACAGGCATATAGATGGTGCTTTTGTCGACAGTTACATATAAAACTTTTGTTGGTTTATTAGGTGAAAAATATTTTTGCATTTATCATTTTTTTATCTACAGTATGTAGTCATATCTTCTTTTGTAAAGTAACTTTGTAACATGTACTTATTAAATTTATTTCAATTAAATATGTATAACTATTAATTACCATATAAGGTGAGTTGTTGTTCTTTTGCCTGATTCCCCAGACTGGGAACCTACAGGGGCACGGTATAGCTTTTCCCCAGACAGCGAGGCACACAGGGTGTTGATGGTTGCTGACTTCCCTGCCCCCACGGCCCCAATGAGGAGGATGTTCTCTTGCTCAGAAGCTTTTTCATATCTCTCCATGAATCTTTTAGGGGAAGGCAACTGTGATCCAGAGAACTTCATGATTTCTCTGTTTTCTATAACTGAAATGAAGCACAGGCTGCATAAAATTTCTCGAATCATATATTAAAATAAATTCCATATAATCAAACCCCTGTGATAACTGTTTTATTTGAAATCTGACATCCTACTGAATTTTGCAAACACACCTGGTTGTGCAAGACAGATCTAATAGGTTTACTGCTTCAGAATAGCTAGAGAGTAGATATTCAGTCCAAACATTGACTTTACAATTGTTAAAACCTACCTTTGAATTATGGAAAGTGTAATGATAGAACTCCATCAGGGCACTTTTTAATGGTTTGGCAACTGATAATGGGTCCCATTCTCAACTGAAATAATTTCATTTTTCAGCCAAATTCCCAAAATTTGCTATATACTCATGGATATTTCTTTCCCTATTCTCCTCAAAATGTGGCAAAAATGACCCATCCAGGTAAAAAAAACACCCTAAACATATCTATACATGTACTCTTTATATGCTGAAGTTCCTTGGGAATTATAAATAGGAATAATAAATGTGAAATTAGCCTTCATACAAATTTCATCCAAATGTGAAAGAACAGGGAGAACTCTATGCTGTGGAGTGTTCTGACCAGGAATTGACCCCTGTATTGCGATGCACGAGGAAATGAACCAGGATCACTTTACCATTATGGTGAGATGAAACCTCGTGTGATTAAGTGAGGCCACTTCATATTTTGTTTTCAACTGATATTTTCTCACTTAATTTTTTGTTATTATTTTACTTAATTATGTTCCTCCATACACAGTAAAAAAAAAAAACAAAAAAAATAAGAAGGGTAGGGAAATTTAGGGTGGGGCAGGGGTTCATTTCACCAAGGCCATGGTAAAGTGAAGCATTTTACTAATTTTTTATTAATTAACTCTTTCTCGACAACTTCTCTAATTATCAACAGTCATGCGTTAAAACACATAAACAACAAGAAATATGTCTGGGGTGGCCATGGTTAAGTGAAGCATTTCACTATGTTCTTACTCATTAACTTTTTCACAATTATTTTTTATCACCCTTATTATTAACATATAAATGACAAAAACAGTGTCTTGAGTGGGGAAATTTAGGGTAGGGCAGGATAGGGTGGGGTGGGTTTACTACGTCATGGCCATGGTAAAATATTTCTGGGTTGGGAAATTTAGGATGGCCATGATAGCGAGAAGCCCTTGCCCCACCCTAAATTTCCCTATCATTGTTATTTTTGTTTGTTTTATTATGTTTGGAGGAACATTATCAAGTATGCAGATAAAAATTTAAAGGAGAAACATCAATTGAAAACAAAGTATAAAGCAGTTTCATTTTACCATGGGCTTCACTTGATCATACTTCACTGGGTCTTGCTCTTCCGCATATTAATCTACAGATTCTACCAACTAAGCCAAAGAAGCATTCTCCATCAGCTGAGGGATTGTACAACCCCCTCATTTAACACTAATATGTAAAGTTATCTCAATAGTGGTGGTCTCTGATAGGTGTTGGAGTTTTTACATATTCTGAATCAATACTGATTACAATTTAACTTATATATATACAATTATTACAATTATTCCGTTAAGTTACTCGATAATAAACAGTGACGTGCCTCTTAGTATAATGCATAGCTTAATATAATCTACGTACACAAGCAAAGTGAAAGAAGAGAGCAGCTTTTAAAATGATTCATAGAGGTGCAAGTTAAGTTTATATTTAACATGTGATTAAAGTGTACTTATAAGTCGAGAGAAAATTATCAATCTCGCTTCAATTTTTACACAACACGTGAGGCAGCAAATGACTTCCTCATCATGGCTTAAGATTTTGTACGTACACTCAGTAACCATGTTTACAAGCGGAAGTAAGCATCGTTTGATAGACGACAGATATATCACAAAGGTTAATTAAATGTGTAAGAAAAATCTACGATATCTTACCTCCACAAAGGAAAGCCTTGCTTGTTACAGCGTGTTATGATTTATAACAGTGACGATTTCACAACTCTAACACCGGCCTGCAAGTTATATCAACGGGTATTTCCCAGTAATGCTTATATTTAGATCTTGTCTTCGTAAGCACTTATGATGAAATATGCAATGACGTTATGTCTGACTTTACAGTAAGTATGCTATTACGTTTTTATAAAACTAAACATGTTTAAATAAAATGTAAGAAAGTCATTAGTTTACCTTGACTACTTGTCCGTGTACCTTGACACATGCAAGTCAGGTGCAGAAGATTAAAGGGAGGTAACTCGTATACATGTTGTCGAACAAGGTAGCAGTATATGATTTATTAGTGTAGTTAGATATGTATAAAGACACGGACTTAGATATAGATGTAGATATATATCATTCCGTGATATAAGTGTCTGATATTTTTGACAGATATTAACTTAATAGTGAAGAAGTATGATACACCTAATATACGTAAAGTTAAGTTTGTATGTGTCTGTATTCTTCTCTAAACAAGTTAGAGACGTTTCGAAATTTGTAGTCATTAATAATAAAGACACACCATAAACTCTGAGTATCTAGGTCACATTTTTATGAATACCGACATCACTTTTGAAACATATTTCAATCCTGAGTGACATCTGCGTTCAAAATAACAAACAGAATTATTTTGAATAAACTGGGAGACTCATCTGGTTCCTGACAATATATTTTACCAGTTGATGGAACAGTGTGGCAAGGCGTTTTAGCATTTAATCCTATTTCCTTTTAAGGTGAAATTTGCATTTATTTTTTTCACTTAAGTGCCATATGGTAATCAAATTTCTTTTCATTTTCCGGGAGGAAGGGATCGTGCTTGCGTTACAAATATTGCCCTACTTTGAAGGTCACAAGGATCAGGCGTTAAAGTTTTCTTTTCAAATACCAAAATGCTAAAAAAATCCCCGTATAATTTACCTTGACCCATATTTTAAGTCACAAGGTCAAATAGCTAATATATATTAAGAATCTTCTTCAAAAAGCTTCTGAATGCATGCATAACCTCTAGACAGACTTTCTGTTAACGCTTCATTAGAAGTCATCGGCTAATATATTCGATTGAGATCAAAGATGAAAACATCACAGAATTCATAAGTTTATAGGGTGATACTTAAATATGTACTGTAGATCTGCGAC